AAGGTAACGTTTGAGGCGGTGTCCAATTGACTTTGAAAGTTTTTTGCTCTGGGTGGGAGCTCTCGACCACCCCGTATGGAAACACTTACGTTATCACATACGGACCCGACCATTTCGATCTTAACTTTCCGGAGAATAATCGCAATCGGGATTTGTACAAAAGTATCTGCTCTCCCAGTTGAAAATCCTTTCCTCCTTTCAGACGAGCGTCATGCAAGCGCTTCGTCTTTTCTTTGTATATCTTGGTGTTCTCATAGGCCTGGAGGCGCCACTCCTCGAGTTCAAGCACCTGCAATTTCCTTTCATTCCACATAGTGTAGGGTCAATATTCAATATCTTTGTGGCCCAGAAATCCATATGCTCTAGCTCTACGGGTAAATGACACGCTTTGTCGTACACCAATTGGTAAGGCGAGATGCCTATCAGGGTTTTGTAGGTCGTGCGATATGCCCATAGAGCATCATCGAGTTTTGCGGACAAATCCTTGTGGGATTGATCCATGGTCTTTTCCAGTATCCTTTTTAGTTCTCTATTTGACAGCTCTACTTGTCCACTTGTTTGGGGATGATAGGCCAATCACACTCGCTGGGTAAAACCATAGCGATCGAGGAGTTTTTCGAATTGCCCCTGAAAATGGGTTCCTCGATCACTCATGATAGCCCTTAGGGTCCCAAATCTTGAAAACAAATTTTTAAGAAATCCGCAGACCCATCTTGCGTCGTTGGTGGGGAGAGCTTGACCCTCGACCCACCTCGAGACGTAGTCCACAGCCACTAAAATGTTTCCAAAAGACGAGGGAAAAGGTCCCACGAAGTCGATGTCCCAAACATAAAAAAAATCTCACATGTGATGGAAAATGTTTGAGGCATCTCATTTCGGTTAGAAACATTACCTGTCCTTTGGCAGGTGTCACGGTGACTCACAAATGTGTAGGCATCCTGGAATAGGGTCGGCCAATAGAATCCCGATTGAAGCACCTTCCTTGCAGTTCGGTTGGCACCATGATGGCCTACAGCTGGTCCCTTCTGGCAGTGGCTTAGGACAGCCATAATCAACTTTTCTGGTACACACCTCGGAATAAACCCATCGAACCCAATCCGAAAAAGGTGGGGGTTATCCCAGAAGTAATAACGGCGATCGAAGAAGAACTTCTTTTTCCCATTTGTATTCATCCCCTTGGGCAGTTGCCTTCCAACCAAGTAATTATCATAGTCGCCGAACCAAGGGGTGGCACTCTCAACAGTGGCAAGCGCGAACAACCATTCATCGGGGAATGTGTCATTTATCTCTCTTTGGGAAGTGCTCCCTCCCGGTTCTTCGAGTCGCGAGAGGTGGTCCGCCGCCAGATTTTTAGCTCCCTTCTTGTCTTTGATCTCCACATCAATCTCTTGTAGAAGTAAGATCCGTCGGATTAGGCAAGGCTTGGCATCGGCTTTGCTCATCAAGAAGCTAATGGTTGAGTGGTCAGTGTAGACAATAACTTTCGAAAGCACAAGGTAAGACCGAAACTTGTCAAAAGCAAAGATTAGTGCCAACGACTCTTTTTTGGTAGTTTTATAATTTTCCTCAGCATCATTCAACATCTTTGAAGCATATCAAATGGGTTGGAATTTTCTTCCCCGCCTTTGTCCTAACACCGCTCCCACTGCATAGTCACTAGCATTACACATAAGCTCAAAAGGAAGGCTCCAGCGATACCATTATGGGGCCATTTGTGAGCTTTGCCTTGAGGATGTTAAACGCTTCAAAACATTCCTTTGGGATAAGGAAGGGAGCATCCTTCTCCAAGAGCTTTGTAAGTGGTAACACAATTTTTGAGATGTTCTCAATGAAGCGTAGATAAAATCCTGCATGCCCAAGGAAACTCCTGATTCCCTTGACCGTTGTTGGTGGAGGAAGCTTGCTAATTGTTTCAAACTTGGCCTGATCCATTTAAATTCCCCTCTTTGAAATTTTGTGCCCCAACACAATGCCCTCTCTCACCATGAAATGTGACTCTCCAAACTCAAAGCCAAATTGGTTTCTTCACAACGCTCAAGGACCTTCTCCAAGTTGGCAAGACAACGAGAAAATAAATCTCCGAATACCGAGAAATCATCCATGAACACTTCCATTATCTCCCCCACGAGCTTATCAAAGATGGCCACCATGCATCTCTGGAATGTGGCTGGGGCATTGCACAATCCAAACGGAATGCACCTATAAGCAAATGTTCCAAAAGGGCAGGTGAATGTTGTCTTGGCTTGATCTTCTGGGGCAATCATGATCTGGAAGTACCCCGGCATCCCATCCAAGAAACAATAATAATCATGCCCAGCGAGCCTCTCCAAGATTTGATCAATGAAGGGCAAAGGGAAATGATCTTTACGGGTGGCATCGTTCAATCGCCGATAATCAATGCACACCCTCCACCCGGTCACCGCTCTTGTTGGTATAAGCTCATCCTTCTCATTTTTGACCACCGTCATCCCTCCTTTCTTAGGGACCAACTGTGTTGGGCTCACCCACTAACTATCCGAGATGGGATAGATGATCCCGTCATCCAAAAGTTTGATTACTTCTGCCTTTACTACTTCCTCCAGGTAAGGATTCACACGCCTTTGTGGTTGACGAACCGGCTTGGCACCTTCCTCCATGAGGATCTAGTGTGAGCAAAAGGTTGGCTCGATCCCTCAGATGTCTGTGATCTTCCATGCGATTGCTCTCTTATGACGACGAAAGACCTCAATCAACTCAGTCTTCTGCTACGGTGTAAGATTGGAGTTAATGATGACTAGGAGTTTGCCATCATCCCTTAAGAAGGCATAGTTAAGATGGGTAGGCAAAGTCTTCAACTCCAACTCTAGCGGTTCCTCCAAGGAGGTAGGGATTTAAGGCATCGCGGGCAAGGCTTCCACCACCTGATCTTGTAGAAATTGGCATTCCTCCTCCGTGGATTTCGATATGTTAGTCCCTACTAAAAAAACACTCTTTAGAAGGGTCAGTATGGAAAGCACCCGTGGATTCAAGTGCCTTCGTGAAATCAAAAACCTCATCACAGTAATCAAAATCATCATGATGGTGAGAACGCTTCATGCTCTTATCAATAGAGAAAGTAACATTTTCCTCCCCTGCCCTAAGCACCAACTTTCCCCCATGCACATCAATCAAGGCCTTGGTGGTAGCTAAGAAAGGTGTACCCAGGATGATGGGGACATCGAAGTTGTCATCAATGTCTAGAATGACAAAATCGACCGGGTATATGAGAGGCCTTACCTTATTAAGTAGGCCGTCAACAACACCCTTAGGTCGCACAATGGACCTATCTGCCAACTGAATGTTCATCCTGGTTGGTCTAGGTTCTCCTAAGTCTAACATTTGAAACAACCTATATGTCATCACATTTATACTTGCTCCTAGGTCCTCCAAAGATTTTCCTATACACATGTTGAAAATAAAACAAGGGATAGTAAAACTCCCTGGATCTTTACATTTTGTGAGCAGGTAGTTCCACAGGATGGTCGAGCACTCTTCATTCAGGGTCACTGTAGCCATCCCTTCCAGCTTCTTCTTGTTGGCGAGGAGCTCCTTCAAGTACTTTGCGTACTAGGGCATCAGAGTGAGAGCCCCCATGAAAGAATGTTGAGGTGCAACTAGTTCATCAACTGCGTGAAATGGGCAAACTCTGCCCCATGCGGTCATTGCGGAGTCGAGAAGGATAGGGAAGAGCTGGAGTTGCTTTCTCCCTCCCCTGCTTCAGTGGAGGAGTCGAATCGACCTTCTCCCCTACAATTTCACTCGTTCCCCCTCATTGTTTGGGTGAACTACTGGCCCCATCTTGCTCTTCTGTCTCGAACGACTTCTTCTTTGGAGGTAGCTCCTTTGCTTCGCAGCAGCTGGTATATGCGCTGGTGTATAGTGTCTCTTAGATACTTCCACATATATATTATGGGTAACATTGGAGACATCTCTATTTTTCCATCGGGAAATCTTTCAAATTACCACTTCGAAGAGTAACCGCTCTTACTCCCACTTTATCGAATTGCTTCTGGGAGAGAGCTGCATGAGAGATAATCCCCGCACTTGTGGTCAAGTTTGACAAAAGTGATTGGTGAATTTGCAATCCCGCCTCTATGGTTGAGAATTTCTCTGTCACCTCCCCTATGAACCTCTCAATTTTTTCAAACTTCTTAGAACTGAAAGCCTGAAACCGACAAATGTGGTCACTAGCTCCTCCAGACAAGACATCCGATCGGTGTGCACAAGGGAGAGAGAGTTCAACTGCTCATAATGGATCGGTTCATCAATCATCATTTGGCACTCTGCTCCCTCATAGCTCGAACTTGCACCCCAATCGTATGGCACCAACAGTTCCATCCCTTGCTTCTTGTCTTCAAGGATCACCTCTATCAACTTGTCAAGTTTAGTTTCAAGTGGAGCACTTGCTCCCATACTTCGCACTCCTCTTTCGGTGCTTCTCTTACCACTCCTCGTCAAGCTCCAATCATATCCTTTAAGAGCCATATCCTCGAGAAACTCGGTCAATTGAGGCGGGGTCATGTTAATCAACCTCCCTTGGCAAAGAGAGTCGATAAGGATCTTGTCATCTTGAATGAGACCGCCATAGAAAGTTTCTATCCGAAATTTCTCTTCGAACCCATGGTGAGGGCATTGGAGGAAGTAGTCCGAGAACCTTCCCCATGCATCCCTCAACGTTGCATCCTCCTCTTTCTCAAAGTGAGTGATCTTCTTCCTCCACTTGATCGTCTTGGAATGAGGGCAATATCGGGTCATGAATTTGTTGAGCAAATCGTCCCATGAGGTAATGGAGAGAGTCGGTCGGTTGTTGAGCCATCAGAGTGCTTTCCCCGCAAGAGAGTAGGGGAATACCCTCAATTGTAATGCCTCCGCGGAGACACTATTTATCTTCAAACTTCCCGCAAGCTCAAGAAACCTTTGCACATGCTCCCTCGGTGATTCATTGGCAAGCCCGTGAAACAAGGCATTGTTTTGAATCATCGTGACTAGGGCAGTCTTGATTTCAAAGTTGTTGGTGGCCACGCGTGGATGTAAGATGGTAGATTAGATATGCGCTGCTCGTGGAGCCATGTAATAGCCCATGGTCCTTGGTTCTTCCTCGGCTCCCGCCACCGCATTTGGATTCAGAGCCGGATTGGCAGCTTGAGGTTGATTTGCCGACATCTCAACTTCAACTTCTCCTTCAATTCCTTCAAATCGGGGACCAACTTGTTGTCCCCTCTCTTCACTTCTCCTTCTTGCCTCCGCTAGCTCCCTCTCTCGAGCTAAAAGTCGGAGAGTCCGGTTGATGTCCTCGTCCAGGGGTGTTAAAGGCGGCGGATTGCTCCGGGTCATGCACCTACCTACACACACTTAAAGAACACAACACGTCTAGCACAAGCACACTTCGCCCTTAGCAAAACTGGAAATAAAAACTAGATTAACACCAAACAATCTTTTCACGATAACAGACCGAAGTTCCCGGACAACAGCGCCAAAAACTTGACTCGCTCTGACTATCACAATAAAATCACACCTAAGGCCCAAGATAGATGGGGGCAATATAGGGCAAGTATGTTTAAATATTGACCCGGGCCGTCCCATATACTGCTACTTCGATTGTTTCAAACATTATCCAGTGGATTGTTGGTTTGTTTGAAAACTAAGATCTAAAGCTAAAGTACTTACAAAGAGAAATGGTTTTGACACTTATTGAGAAGGCTTCACCCAGGTGTTGCTCCCCCTAACTAGCAATTAAAACTTAATGGATCGAATGACCGTATGTGGTGGGGGGTTGTAAACCAAAGGAAGGTCTAACAAGTAGCCAAAGCTACCCTCTTAGTCTCTAGGTCGAGGAAAAGGGATACGATCCAAGCGACTAATGTGAACCTCTCAACCTATTGACTAAGGGTTGGTTAGACTTCACCCTCGAATCGGAGTTCGGACGGCATGAACATACACAAACCATTTCACTTGCTAAACTGGCGCAACGATATAAATTGGTTTGATAACTTTTAGCTGGTACTATCAGGTTCAACAGGTACCGGTTATGAAATGTGTTAGAATGTCAGTGGTATGACCGACTTGAAAGATTTTCGACCTTTGAGAAAATAATACCGTTTTGATAAATTTAATTGATAACAAAATGGATTTGTTTCTTGAATTAAAAAGTTAAATGTTGATGTTATTTGTTGGAAACATAGATTTAGATGTTCATGTTATTTGTTGGATTCAAATATACATTTTTTATAAGAAAGAAGTTTATACCACCAGTTTAGATATATTTGTTCATGTTGGATTCAAGTATGGAGGTTTGGATATTCATGTTATTTAGATGTTATTTGTTCTCATTTAGAAGTTATTTAAATGTTATTTGTGCAAGTTTAGATGTAATTGATTGGTTAGATATTATTTGTTGAATTCAAGTATTGATGTTTAAATATTTATATTATTTGCTGAATCCAAGTATAAACTGTATGATATTGCAGGTAAATGTTGTATTTTAAATAAGATTTATTTTTTGGAATTTTTTGTCTTATTTAAATGTGAACATATATTTTAGAGAAGTTTTCTTCAAAAATGTTATATACATGTCTAAAATCATTTAGTGTAATAATTTTCCACTTCCCTATTGTTTTGCATTGTCATCAATATCCGTCCAACTCATAAATAGAGTGTACCATGTCATAGTCAACTAACAGTTGACCAGACGAAAAATTGATGTTTGGCTATGACTCGCTTTGACTATAACAATAAAAACTCACATAAGGCCCAAGTATAAACCTTAGATGGGTGCAATATAGGGCAAGTATGTTTAAATATCGACCCAGGCAGGCCCATGTACCGCTACTTCGATTGTTTGAAACATTATCTAGTGGATTGTTGTTTTGTTTGAAAACTAGGATCTAAAACTAAAGTACTTGCAACGAGAAATGGTTTTGACACTAATTGAGAAGACTTCACCCGTGTGTTGCTCCCCCTAGATAGAAATTACAACTTAACGGATCGAATGACCGTATGTGTTTAGGGGGTTGTAAACGGTAGGGAAGTCTAACAAGTAGCAAAAGCTACCCTCTTAGTCTCTAGGTCGATGAAAGGGGATACGATCCAAGCCATTAATGTGACCCTCTCAACCTATTAACTAAGGGTTGGTTAGACATCACCCTCGAATCTGAGTTCGGACGACCACCCACAACCAAACCCTAGGTGCTAATACGAAATACAAGGTTTTCCTTACATTAACCTAACTAGGAGACAGTGAATTGCCTAAGAAAACCCAGCTTGCAAGCCTCTTCCAAAGAAAGGAAGGGGGTTTTCTCTCTACCTAGGTTAGAGTGGCAATTAGTTTGATAGTCTTTCACGCAACAATCATTCATGAATAATAACTCCACCTTCACATTAAACATAACCACACACAAATCATTCAAATCATACAAATATTGACATAATTGTAGTTAGGGTTTACAAACACCCAAGTGAAAGAAGGGACAACTTCATGCTAGGAGATGGGAAAACACAAGAGAGAAGAAGGAAAACCATCAAAGAGATGTTAGCCTTGCTCCTTGTGTTGAAGAGATCCTCCTTTGGGGGAAGAATTCTCAATTCCTTGCTTGAAGATGAAACCCTAACTTCTCATCTTCTTTGGTTCGTCACTTTCTCACTCTAGAAATCTGAAGAAGAAGTTTCTCACACTAGGTCTCCCCCTTCTTCTTCCTTTCAGCTGTCCTTTTATACTGAGATCGCACCCATTTCACAGCCCAAGTTCACGGCTGTGAACATCAAGATGCGTCCATTAGCACAGTGAACTAGACCAAAACGCACTGCCTCACATTTGGGGTTCACGTTTTGTGGTTCATGTTCACGGTCTTAGCGACCGTGAACACCCTTGGCATCAGTAACCTCAAAAATCCATGTGGACGCTTCGCGGTTCACGGGTTTTGGTTCCAGTTCACGGTCCTGGAGACCGTGACTTCAATGTTGGACCATGAACACATGTTGAATCCTCCTCTTTGCCCGGTCTTTGCTCCTTTCCTTCCAACTTTCGACTACGAGGATGGTTTCACCTGTTAGATTCAGAAACACATTGAAACACAAGAAACCTAGCGTAAAACCACCCATTTTGGATAAATGGAGATAAAAAAGTATACAATTAGGCCTAAATCAGGCTATTAGATTGTTTTCGAAAAGGTTTGGTTATTATTTTGTTTAAAACGAAAGATTTGGCTATTATATTGTATTTACCCTGAACTTGTGACATGCTTTTAGAAACTTGTGATTTGCTTTTCAGTACCCTTTCATAATCTACGTTCTTTTCATGGAGGCTCACATCCAAATTACAGTCTAGTACCTAAATTTAATAGATTTTAATATTTAGTGTCTAAAATTAATTTTTGTAACAATTAAGTCCTGAAAATATTGGTAAAAATTACATTTTTAGTACCTTAAAATTTTCCGCCTTACATTTTGATACATGAAGTTTTAAAAATTTTCAAATAGGTCCAATATTATAGTATGTTTTAAGAAACTTGTGATGTTCGTTATCTTACTTGAGCTATGCTTTAATAAACTTGCGGTGTGTTTTATGAGAATTGTGGTATGCTTACTTGTAGTGTGTTCCGTGAGACCAGTAGTTTGCTTCATGAGTTTGTTTTGCGATTATTATTTTTGTGGTGTGGTGAGGATGTGGGATCCTTTCTAATGTTTGTGGTTTTCGTGGCGTTGTTTTTAGTATTTGTGGTATGTGGTTTGATAGTCATCCACCTCCTTCCACATTTAATGCAACCCTTCTCCAAATTAATGTTTTCCTCCCCACTTTTTAATTAATGACCAGTGTGTGCCTAAGTTGTCTTCCACATTATTAATTGTGGTCAACTCATTTAAATTAAAAATTTATCTAAATGAAATATTTTTTATTGATAGGAACTAGTGTTAACATCGTGCTAAGAAAAAAAAAGTGTTAACACTCTAACCTTTTCCGGATAGCTAATGTGTTACATCCACATTTTATCTATTAAAATAATTAATTTTTATTATAATTGTTAATTAAAAAATAATATCATCCAAGAGTCTCTTCCTCTTCTTTCTCTTCTTCCTCTTCTTCCTCCAACATTCCTTCTCCCCAATGGAAACCACTGACGATGAATCCTCCTTCTGGGCATGACAACCTCTACGACTACTACCCTCAGTCCCGCTCGATGTCATTCCTTCTCTGCAACTGAAACCGTCGGCAACGAATCTCCTCATCCTCTCTTGTCTTCTCTTCATGCCTCCTTTCCTCTCTTGTCGTCGAAGAAGGTGAGAAGAAGATGAACTTCTGAAGCTGATTCTCTCTCCCTGTGCCTTTCTCTATCTCTCTTCGACTTGGCTTCTCTCGCAAACACTTTGCGTCAACCTTGATCGAGTTCTCACTTGCTATTACATGCGTATTGCTTTCTTTCGTTAAGCGAAGCGAGTAGACGAGATTCACGGCAGGTCGAAGGTGCAACGAGTTGAAGTCACGACCGGCAAATGGTGGCCTTCAGTGGCTTGCCGGAAATAGGGAATGCGGTTGGAATTGAGCATAACAGAGCGAAGTGGGTTCGTCGGAGGAAGATATGGTGCTTAGGTGATGAGACTTCAGTTCGCAAAGGACAGAGGAAGAAAATGATACTCAATCTTCTTGTTTTCTTAAAATATTAAATGTTTGTTAATATTGATGTGAGATTGTGCAAAAATGTAAGTTTTTACCACGTCATCACACATTTGGCAGCTCATTGTTACCTAAATGAAGGGATAATGGAGACTTAACGATTGACTAGTTTGTATTTCGAAAGATTTGACAAATATTTTGATAACTTAGAAAAGTTTGACTAATAAATTGTATTTATTCTAAGAAAAAAATTGATCTTAGATTATGTCTTAAGAATCACTTGTGAACGTTATGAGTTACGTTATCAAAATATATAAAGATTTTCTACTAAGGGCATCTCCTTAGGGAAGAGTTTGGTTGCTAACACTATTTTTGTTAGCATGGTGCTAACACTAGCTCCAACTTGGGATTAGATAGTGTGACAACACCCCTTATGTTGTTTTTGTAACAACACTAGTCTCCAACCAATAGGAAGCTAGAGTTGTGATGACTTTTTATTAGATAAGTTAACCTAGTGTAAAATCAAAGCAAGGGTATAATTGTCATTATGAAAAATATTTTTAAATAATAATAAAAAAATAATTTTTATTTTCTGCCCAAAAATTTGGTCGTCGGAATTCGGTCACCGCTCGCTGGTCACCGGAATATCTTTTTTGTTGCCGGAATATGCTATTTTTCATCGGAATATGCTCATTGTCGCCGGAATATGCTCACCGTGGTCGGAATATGCTTACCGGCGTCGGAATCTAGTCATCGGCGCCGGAATATGCCTATCGGCGCTGGAATCTGCTCACTGACAGTCATCAGAGTTTGGTCAACGACCACCGGATGTTATGGTATGCATTGTGATATTTATGGTTTGGTTTCTCATATTTTTGTATGCCTTTTGTGGTTTGCTTTATCGTGTTTGTGGTTTGCATTAAGAAGTTTCTAGTTTGCTTTATCGTGTTTGTGGTTTGCATTGAGAAGTTTCTGGTTTGCTTTCAAATTATTTTTGTTTGCATTGAGGGGTTTGTGGTTTGTTTTAGGAGATTTGTGGTATGCATTAGGAGGTTTCTGGTTTGTTTTTGTTGTTTGATTTACTGTGTGTATAGTTTGCATTAGGAGGTTTCTGGTTTGTTTTTGAAAATTATGTGATTTGCTATGTGAGATTTCTGGTTTGTTTTAATATATTTTTGGTCTGCATTAGGACGTTTCTGGTTTGTTTTTGTGGTTTGCTTTATCGTATTTATGGTTTGCATTATGAGGTTTCTAGTGTGTTTTTGAAAATTCTGTGGTTTGCTTTGTGAGGGTTCTGGTATGTTTTAGAGCATCTGCGGTCTCGTTTAGGAGGTTTCCGGTATGCTTTTTGTGGTTTGTTTTATCGCATTTGTGGTTTGTATTAGGAGGTTTCTGATATGCTTATAAAATATTTGTGGTTTGCTTTCTAATTTTTCTGATTTGTTTTAGGTGATTTGTGGCCTGTATTGGGAAGTTTCTAGTGTGCTTATGAAATGATAACTAACAAAAGAATGCAAAACTGTTACAAAGCTACAACCCCATTTAGAATCACAAACCACTAATTGTAACAAAGCTCTTCCATATTGAAGGACTCATAATTGAATAACTTACATCACAATCCCATCACAAGACTCCACCCAGCCATCTCACGAGCTTTACAACGTGGAATTATCTTTTTTGCAACATATACAGACATCTCAACTTTGTTCTTGGAGATGACCACACAACCAAACTCATAACCAACTAAAGATCACCCAAAAAATACCACATGCAAGTCGACTACAAAATCAGACCATGCTCATGTCATATCTGATTCAGTTGACACGCCTGTACAAAGGGGCAATCCAACCTCTGCTTCCAAGTTCAGAAGCTTGAATCCTAATTCACTTTAGCCATTACTCTACTGCTTCCTCCCTCACTTCGTTGCGGTCTCTCCCGCAGCTTCAGCGGGACCTCTCCAACATCAAAATTTGCCATCTACTGCTGAAATTAGCGTCATTTTTTGCACGTAGGGTTCAGATCGGTTGGTATACATATCAATCTCAAGCTGAAAAGCAAAAGCAAAAGAGGGCAGAGCCATCAATATCAACTCTCAAGTACCTTAGTCATCCAAAGTGCAAAATAAAGAACGAGACGAGATTTGGCTGCGATTGAAAGAGGAGGATTGGGGCCTCCGGCGTCGGAGTCGCTAACTGCATTTGGCGGCGGCGAAAATGAATACCGGCGTTGAGAAGAGGTTTCTGATCGGTGTAGAGAGGAGAAAGATACGAACAGTGGGGAAATAACGCTGTCGTCGGTCGTGAGGTTCGTGTAGCGCCAGGCCTTCCACGTCAGCAACGTCGCCGTCGCGACCCACAGGCGAAGCGCTTGTTGTTCACTACGTGGAGAGGTTAGAAGGTTCAGATTGGGCGGCGTCGGTGCCGGGGAGAATATTGGAGGAGAAGGAGTCGACGAGGAAGAAAGATATACGCGAGGAAGGAGATCGAGAGACGGCTGCAGCTGAATATTGATTTTTTAATTTGTTAGATATTGTGTTAATGGACCCTTTTACCCTTATTGTTACTATAACAACAAAAGACGTGTTGTTATAATATCCGACCCCTCCAACCAATAGGAACATTTCATTTGGATGACTTTTTATTTTAAATGAGTTTACCATAATTAATGAGGGGAGGAGGCGTAGGAGCACGTTGGTCATTAATGAAAAATTGGGGGAAGGTGGACCAACGTGTGTGTTCATATTATACCGGAGGGGGTGCATGAATTATGGGGGGACCAGAAAACACAAACCACAAACATAAGAAACCACAATACAAAAGAAAGTATATCGTAACATCAACGCACCACAAGTTTCTTAAATTATATCACAAGTCCCTTCAAGCATACCAGAAGTCTCATAAAGCATATCATAAGTTCATTAAAGAACACCACAAGTTTATTAAAGTAGACCAACTAATCTCATGAAGCACACCGAAAACCTCAAAAAGTACACCACAAGTTTCTTGAAACATACCAGAAACCTTATAAAGTGTATCATAATTTTATTGAAACAAATCACAACTTAATTAAAACACACCATAATTTTCCTAAAGTATACCAGAAACATCGTAACTTATTTGTAAATTTTAAAAATTTCAGGTATCAAAATCTAAGCAAAAAAATTTAGGTACTAAAATATAATTTAATATGTTTAGGACTTACTAGTAAAAGAAACTAATTTTATGTACTATATATTAAGATCTATTAAGTAGATATCAAAATTATAATTTGTTTAAAATCTCAATGAAAGGAACGTACGAAAATGAAAAAAAAATTATAATTATTATAGTACGGTTTTAGATGTTAACACCCAATATGCTCCTGTTTCCTCTAAGTAGTGCTTATTTTATAAAGTATTCATGCCGAATACACCATAATTACGAACAATCTGGAGGCCAGAATTACAAAGCAATATACCTTATGGTGTTTATTGAATTATTTCCACAAAATATTCAAATCAAGCGAACATCCTCGTAAGTCATATATAAGCATTAAGGCGGAATTCATCGAGCTCATTGAGTTACAAGAGTCCCTTCTTACTTACTATCAAGTTTCAATTCGAAGTTCAACTTCTTGGTCACCCAGCACGCCTTGTCTTCTAGTTCCACTAAATGGCAAACCATGCCGAAAACTGACTTGAATGGGACATGCGCAAAGGATTTCAAGGCCAGTCTACGTTAGCCTACCCTGTCAGCACAGTACCAAAATCGCACAGGCGCACGATTGATTTCAGCACAAGTGACGCTGCAGAAACAGTGCTGTACTTCAGCTGAATCATACCATTTCCATATGTTGATTAATACAAATTTCTATGGGCTCTATAAAGAAGAAAATAGATACTTTTCTTTGACCACATTTACAACATCACAGCAAAAACTGATCTGCTAGGACTACTATATTCAACACTTCCCACCACATATTAAAGGATTCAAAGCACCACCCACCACGATCTTAAACCAGAATATGACCACCATCGCATTCCGATGCAGGTAAAGGAAACTGCACCTTTTGGATCCTTACATGAAGGTTTTATATTCACATGTCTACACCCTCATCAAGACCCTTCGAACTGATCATCACATTAGACTCGATTTGCTTATCAAACTTCTTCTTCCTTCGTGCTTCGAATTCTTGAAACCCTTGCATCTAATCGAATTCACAAGCACTTCAGTAACAGGCAAGGAATTTGATTGTCTCCAATCCAAAGATGGAAAAACACTTGTTGGAACTAGGCTTTACCTGCTGGAATTGATCCATCGAAATAGGATTCTCATGCAGGGATAAATTCTGAAGAGACTTGCAGTCTCTCAAAAGATTTGAAGGAATCTGTGACCAAATAGTTACAAAATTGTTCTCAATTGACATATCCAACCAATCAAAATTCTAATCCGTGCAAATCCATCTACAGGTTTCATGTCAATCTGGCGGAGTAGCCAAAATCATGCAAAAAGGAGACAACATTAGTACATTACAGAGTCTGGATGGACGTAAACATAAAATGTCAACACAAGGCTAAGTTTTTACCCATAAATGGCAGTATGGTATAGAAATACTCAAAATGAGAGTAGCTAGGAAATTTAAGGATTCAAGAAAGGAATAAAAAATATAAGATCTCTTGAAGTCATATAAAACTGAATCTGACTACCAGACCAGGCACACAATAATAAAGAAGCACTATGAAAATAACAGACTAGTTAGGCTATGGCAGGTGACATGATTTATGCTTGAATATAAATAATCAACAGAACAAATCAGTGAAGTTAAACAAGATTTGGCGTAGAATCACCTGATTAACATTATTCTTATTCAAGGAGAGTGACTTCAAATGCACGAGATTGCAAATAGAGACAGGAAGATCCTGAATTAGATTGTCTGCCAAAAAATCAAACTAAACAAGTGTCAAATCCCCAAAATATTAAGTGCTTGAATAGTGAGAAATCACACATTATTTTAGAAGTGGAAGCAAACAACAAGCACAATTTGATCGAGTTAACATGTTTTAACCATGCAACGAGAAAGGAGAGCTGATACATCAGAAAATTCCAGATGGCGAACTACCAAATGAAGCATCCAGACCAACAACCAACAGAGAAAGTATCCTTTTACTATTAAGTAATCCCACACAGAAGGTTGGGTTGAATTCCAAATTTCCCATTTCTGACCTTTATGTAGAAAGTTGTCTTCAACATGGAAAAAGTTCATAAAATCTTAAAGAGAAGTGAACCATTCTCCTTGCGTCTTCTCATGGATAAATAGCATTTTATAGTTCAATATCCATCCTGTGATCTCCATGACAGGATGGTGATAAAGGAATTCACAAGAAACTGAACCTACCATTTGCTTCTAGTTCCTCCAGAGAAAAGCAACTCCCAATCGATTCTGGGAGAGTCTTTAGCTTGTTACCGGAAACATTCAAAAGGGACAACTGCATATTCATGAAAAAAGAACCATATGCTTAGTGAAATCCGTAAACCATTGCATGCTCTACATGACATCCTTGAAAATTTAATGAGCTTTTTAAGTACTCTGGATGCCAATATCTAGCTCGTAGCAGTTTCACCATGCAAAACTGCATCAGTGTTTAGTTTATTACTTGTACAACAAAAATACTCCGTTGTTGCTAGAATCATTAGCAGAAAAGAAGGTAGCAGTAACTTGATCACCTCTGAAGTAAAATTCGAATTCAGAGCTTATGGCACTTTCAGTTGTTCTTGGAGGTTTCATAACTTACAGGACGCAAGTTCTGCTTATTTCCGTGCAATCGAAAAAAATCTTGTGTTTCTCCCAAATGCGGATGAAACAAAAGGTAATAGAAAACTGATGCAGCAGGAAGAGGAAGCTCAAATAGAAGAGGGATAGAAACCACATGTCAGGGAGGAAGTGACTTACATTGCGCAAGCTTCCAATGGTCTCCGGCAAGCACGTTAACAGATTTCCTGAAATCGATAAGCGCTCAAGCCTCACCAACTGGCCCACTAGTCACGGAAACAGCGAGACGATGTAAGAATAACAAAACTAGACTTATGTTGGTATCACTGTGGCAGGAAGTTTAGGGATAAAGGCATGAGTGTAATCATGAAGACACCAAAAAAACTTAGCTAATAAAAAAATTATTTTATTCAGAGAAGAATATTACATTCATCAGGCAAGAAAGAAAGCCGGTTTCCATCAAGTGTCATAACCTTTAGAGACTGGAGTTTCCCCAAATTCACTGGTAGCCTCTCAATTGAGTTTTCTGCCAAGATCTGAACAAAACACACTAGCTCAAACATTGCTAAAACTCAACTCCACAGAATAAAGAACAATGTTGCATGTTGAATTCCCAGTTGCACCAACTAGGACATGGACACAATTGCAGACATGAAAACTGGGTAATAATAGTTTAGAGTAATAAAATTTATTAAGAGAAGCATACACAAAAAAATAGGGAAAAGGGCATTTTCTTCTGTCCTACAATCGCACAATTCAGTTCAATAAAGGACCAGTCATAAACATAACCACCATTAGAAGTTTTCTACTCTTACCAATCGCTGCATATGGATCAGCTTGCTAATTTCCATAGGGATATCAACTGCAATGCCAAAATAGATATTCAATTTAGAAGAGCTAAACAGAGAAACCCAGCTACGAACGATTGTGCTCAGCCTATAACAGTTACAAAAATCAAAATTGATCTTGCACACAAAGGAAGGGCAGTGGATGATATAACACCTACCCCAATTATGATTAACTGACACCAACAAGGAGCATAATATCATACAGTTCACTAAAACTTGCATTTCTTCATTCTGACAGGGGGAATACAACCTCACCTATTTTGTTGTGTGTCAAATCAAGGGTACGCACAGCTTTTTCAAGGTCAATAACATCATCCGGGAAGTTCTGTGAGTAAGAAAGCCAAACAGATGAACAAACAAGGCAATTCAGAGGAGATTAAGCATGGGAAGAAAAACAAAACAAACAATCCATGGTCACTGATGAAATTCATGGAATGAGCATCGTGCTTGCTGAAATTCTTCAATTGGTAATGGAAACAACTTCACCTCCCACGATGACTGAGCAGAGTGCCCTTTTAGTAAATACGGTAGTCAATGTTAATCTATGAGTTTCAGAATATTGACATGAACTACAACCCACTTAAACTTATTCAAAGAATTTGTTTCATGGTCTATGGGAAAAGTATATCCCATGAACATTGCCAAGTCCAAGTCCAATCATATTCATATCATCATACTCTACTTCCTCAGAAGTCTATCTAGATATCCTGAACCAGAACATTCAACCCCCACCGAATCTAGGCCATAACAACTTGTACTCTCCAACCCAAATCACGTTCAATCAATTAGCGTGGACCATGCAATAAGGGAAAAGAAAATTGTAGCCAAAGCGTAATCAAAGCTTCATGGCAAGTTAACATCAAATGAAAACCCCAGAGAAACGATTCCCAACCAAAATAGTTGAGGCTTCCACAAAAAATTCCAACAATGAGAATAAACCCAGAGAAGATATTGAAAGTGCCAAGGAACCCAACATAGACAAAGAAAGCGAGAAGTTGTCAAAAGAAAAAAGGAAGAGAGGAAAGAAGTGCGTACCTTCAATTTAGCGTCGCGCAAGGCAACAATACCGGTGGATCGCCAACGAGCAGCCCTGGCGGCTTTGGAATCTACGTTTTTGCTTTCGCAGCAACCCATGGCTTCCTTCTTTGTACGCTTGTCCTGCCTTGCGTCAGGGATATCTCCGTCTGTCTTCTCTTCCTCTCCACTCTCGGCCCGCAGAATGAGATTGGCCGGAGCAGTTGGGAAGAGAAGATATGAAATGAGGGTAAAAGGAAGGCTGTTGGTTTAGGAAGGGTGGGTGCGAGGAATCGAGAAGTCAGTCCAATTTACAGAGTCGTTGTGTCCCGCGTCTTGTCTTCTCGCGAGAGATGCCTTCCCAAGTTTGACCATACCCATGTCAATACTCAATAGTCGGTCACAAACAAGGATCTAAAGCCAAATTACTTGCAAAGAGAAATAGTTTTGACACTAATTGAGAAGGCTTCACTCGGGTGTTGTTCCCCCTAGTTAGCAATTACGATTTAATGAATCGAATGGCCGTGTGTGGTGAAGGGGTTGTAAACCACAGGGAAGTCTAACAAGTAGCCAAGACTACCCTCTTAGTTTCTATGTCGAGGAAGGGGATACGATCCAAGCCACTAATGCGACTCTCTCAACCTATTGACTAAGGATTGGTTAGACTTCACCCTCAAATCGAAGTTCGGACGGCCACCCACAACCAAACCCTAGGTGCTAATACGATATAGGAGGTTTGCCCTGCATTAACCTAACTAGGAGACAATGAATTGCTCAAGAGAACCCAGTGTGCAAGCCTCTTTCAAAGAAAGGAAGGGGATTTTCTCTCTACCTAGGTTAGAATGACAATTAGATTGATAAGCTTTCACACAACACAATCATTCATGAATAATACCTCTACATTCATATTAAACACAACCACACACAAATCATTCAATTCATACAAGCATTAACATAATTGTAGCTAGGTTTACAAACACCCAAGTGAGAGAATGGAATACTTCATGCTAGGAGAAGGGAAAACACATGGGAGAAGAAGGAAAATCATCAAAGAGATGCTAGCCTTGCTCCTTGTGTTGATGAGATCCTCCTTTGGGGAAGGAATCACCAAATTCTTGCTTGGAGATGAAACCCTAACTTCTTATCTTCTTTGGTTCGTCACTTTCTCACTCTAAAAATCTGAAAAAGAAGAAGTTTCTCACACTAGGTCTCTCTCCTTCTTCTTCCTTTCAGCTAGTCCTTTATACACGGCCCAAGTTCACGACCGTGAACATCAAAACGCGTCCTTGAACACAGTGAGCTTACCAAAATGCACCGCTTCACTTCTTGGGTTCATGATTTGCGGTTGCAGTTCACGGTCTTAGCGACCGTGAACAGCCTTGGCGTCAGTAACCTCAGAAATCCCTTGGACGCTTCTTGGTTCACGGATTGTGGTTCCAGTTCATGGTCCTGGAGACCGTGAACTCCAATGTTGGTCCGTGAACACAGGCTGATTTCTCCTTTTTGCCCGGTCTTTGCTCATTTCCTTCCAACTTTCGACTTTGGGGTTGGTTTCACCTGTTAGACTCTAAAACACAAGAAACCTAGTGTAAAACCACCCCTTTTGGAGCTCAATTGCCACAAACGTGAAAGAGAAACAGGGATAAAACGTGTACAGTTAGGCCGAACCATGTTCAGGACCGACGTCACCGCTCACTTCCTCGCCGTCCACAAAAGCCCACGGATACTCATGAACCCGTGGATACCCGACGAGTTGGGTTGGGTTTGAGTTTTTCAAACCCGTCGGGTTTTACCCCGGGTTTTTTTGGCGGATAAATCCATGGGTTTGGGTTTGAGTTTGGGTTTGGCAAAACCCGCCCCAACCCAACCCATTTCCATCCCTTTGAATTGTAACAATCTCAACCAAACTATCACCAAAACCAAGCGACCCCATAGAAGCATGTTGGAGAATTTCGAGATCGTTTGCTAGTTAGATTTAAAAATGAAGTTTTTATTTATAACATGGGATTTAAAAACATTGAGATTTATTAGAGATTTGAGCCATATGGATTTTAAAAATTCTTTATTTATTGAGTTGTTTTCATCATGGATTTATGAATTTGGAATTTAGAACTTAAAAACTTAATTTACTTTATTACCCTTTATATTTTTTTTTTCTTTTATTTCCACCGTTCCCACACCATATTTTCTTCTTCCCTTGTTGAGGCCTTCCTCATTCATCCCTCAAGAAGAAGGGTTTGTTCACAAGTCCTATACCCTCGTTCCCCATCTGCATATGAGACAAAGAGAGAAGCACATAACTCTTCCCAAAATAACATTTGTAATTAGTATGGTGGCAGAGTCTCCTTCCGCCTCAACATCTTGTCGTTGCATTGACATCTTTTTCCCATCCTTGTGTTTCCCGTTGCCATTTAAGGGTTATGGTTCCTAATGGAAGCATATGGAGATTGAACCAGTGCTAACATGGTTCTTCAGATCACCGTTGTTGTTTGGGTTGGAAATTGGTACGACATCGGTATCTCGAATCACACCCTAAAATAAATCTCAATCCATAAATATATTTGGTATGCCAATCCCAATCACTAAATATTTTGGTATCCTAATCGGTATTATTGAATATAAAATTAATTACCTTTTTAATTAAATATATATAAGTTAGATTTGGTTGTCTAATTTAGGGCAAAGAGACTAGGCAAAGGGTATTGAGTTTGCCTAGAGTTAGGACTTGGATAAGGAAAACGGAGGACATGTGACATTTTAAGTTCTTGTCATTGGTAATTTTTAATTCGACGGATTGGAGGTTGAGCAACGACTAATACTAGTGTTTGCTTTTTGGTGTTATTAAAATGACAAGAGATTAGGTGAGAAACGAGAGTGACTAAACTAGAAAGTCAAAATTGGGTTGGATGGAGACTTGTAAATTGTGGAAGAGTGCTATATTTCATTAATTTTCAATTTTGTGATGTTTCTCGGTATTTCGGTATATACCGATCCCAATCCCATAATCCTTGTTTACGCCCAACATGTACTAGGGGGCGGATAACAATGATCATTTGGGGCACTGATCTGGACTCTCTCATTCGATCTCTTTGGGAGGTGAGGAATTTGTGATGAGCAGGGAGTGGCCCCCGTGATCTACACTCTGAAGCCCAAGTTAATTCGATGTAGAGGAAGATGTATGTAACGTAAATGTAGAGAAAGAAAGGGTTTTGAGAGAAAACCAAGTGTGGTGGATCAAATGTGTGAAGCAAAGAGGGAGGTCCTTTGCTTGGAGGGTTTGAGCCTCTATATATAGTAGTCTGGCGCTTCCTTGGTCTGACGCCTTGGGGCTTTCTTTAGCCTAACGCCTCAAGGTGGGCTGGCGACCTCAGGAGAGGTGCCTTAGAGGCTGAGGCCTCTGAATGAGTTGGAGGCCCTAGGAGTGGTGCCTTAGAGTTGACTTAGACTCATTAGTTATGTGTACCATTATCATATTAGGCATATTAATCCATATCCCAACAATCCTGAATACTGAATAGTACTCCAACATGAATCTCAATCCCAATTCTTAAAAGATAAATCGGTATTCGAAATACCAAATAGTGATAAATTCGGTACGGTATTCGGTATATCCCAAATACAGATACCAAATTTCCAGCCCTAGGTGTTGCTAGAGGACGACGACAAAAAACTGTCGAGACTGATATCTCTTGCCACCAACTGTACTCCAATTTAGCAGGAGTTTCTTCTTTTTTTGTTGGAGCTCTCTATTAGGAGAGAGATGGGCAAAAATTCAACACAAGGATGGGAGAAATAGGAGGGCAAATTTGGAATAAGAGAAAGTTATGGGGATAGAGATGTCATTTTACACATTGATTTTTAGTCGCTATTCAAATCCCAAGTTATGACGTGAGATTTATAAATTCGTGGGCAACAGATCCAGAGCAAAAAATAAATCAAAATATGTGGACTTCACAAGTTTGTGTCCGGATTTTTTGAACAAACAAACAAAAGATTTTGATTAAATGATGTGTTTGGTACCAATAAGGTTGTCAACTAGCGGGTTGACACGTTTTGACCCTGGCCCGATGAGAAAATGGGTGTCATACACTCGCGGGTCGACCTGCAGCAAGGTTCCCGGGTTAGAGGTCATACAACATCGTTTTTTTATTTTGGTTTGCGAAATGCATCTTTTTTCTAGCTTTACTCTTCGTCTAAGTATCTAACTCTATCTTTGAAATTTTACATTGAACACTTGAATATTATTAATGTTATATAAGTGTATTTGCATTTTTACTAATGTAGTCAAAATCGCGTTTCTAGGTCACTAAAACGTTTCTACACAAAATCTCAGTTTTTATAACTTATGTAGTTAAAAACTCTGCTTAAAAACTTAAGATTTTACGCTTTTAGATCACCAAAATGTTTCTACGTAGAAACTCACTTTTATCTACATTGATTTTTACTATATGTTGGATGCAAGTACAAAATGTTATTTTGGTGTAACATTATATGAGTAAACTCATATGTTAGATGAGATTTGATATAATTTAAAAATTTATGAATATAATGAAATTTTTCATATATCCAACATAAAACCACTCAAATCACTTACTCTACCGATCAACAACCTCACCATTAGCACTCAAATCACTTGCTCGACATGCCAACGACCTCAGTCGACAACATTAGGTAACATATTCTCATAGCAAACGACCCCTTCATTTCATGTATAAAATTTTCGACTCCCCTCTCTCCATTATATCATACAAATATAACCCCCTTTCCCCCTCTTTTCTGTCCCTGACAATCCTTCTCCTACAACAACAACAGCAACCAGATATAGGGCTAGCTGGATGACTACAAAGATTGATTAAAACGATACTAAATGCCCACAACTTCCCCCCAAGAATTAAAAAGAAAACAAATATGATAGAGAATGGTAAAAAAGAAAAGAATGGCCAAGTTACATCTCCATCTTGCCAACCTGTAAAAGGGTTTTTACCTTCTCTTCCAGTATGATTGATCATCATGACTCCCTCAGCTTCATCATGTATCTCTGATAGAGAGGCCGGAAGTTTCAGGTGCAAAGCAGCAAGAATACGATTATCTCACATGTTTCTTGCCAGGAAGTTCTCTATATTTAGTTTTGCTCAGACTGCTCCTTTGTGTCCACCACAGTTTTTGGTTCATGCTTCCTCTTACTTCTGCGCTTAGATCTTGATGATCGCGTCTTTGTGTGCTTAACGATTGGCTGTGACTCTTCCATGTTGTTCACTGCCTTTTCGTTGTCAGATGGGAGTTCCGGAGGAGCGTCTGGCCATGGCGTTCGTTTTGATGGCACGGTGATTTCCAGTGGTGGGTCGATTATCCACCTGTATAAACAGCACCAAGAATATATGAGCTCAAAGGGAAAAGAAAGAAAAACAGAGAACCTGTTGAGAAACTAAACCTAATGATAAACAAGGACATATTTCCATGAGTATCTGCATTTCAGAACCTGGGAGGTAGATAAAAATCCAAAATTTCCAGGCATAAATAGGTCCTCATAAGCCAATGGAGACAATCTTAAAGGCTAATCCTGTTCTAATTTAATTTGCAGGCACAGTTACTTCTAGGATCCTCGGTACTAACAGAGCAGGAATCCCGTCAAAATAAACCTATCAATTAACACAGGATCAAGTAGTAACAGATAATGTAGAAGGTTTCAATTCTCTCTATCATGGAACCATGTCTCAATAGACAATCTATGCACCACTGCTGCAATTCATCTGGTACTAATTAGCCATCTAAAGGACAGGCAAGTAATTAGCAAGAGTATGTGTGCATGAAAGGAATCAAGTGAATTATTATCATATCATTCTATAACAGGGATGTGACTATTGAAGTATCGACAGGTTCACTTCCTATGTTTGTTTGCTGCTATCAACATGTGCCACACGGATGCTGAATGCGGTTACAAAGATGTGTCTATTGAAGTATCGACAGGTTCAGTTCCTATGTTTGTTTGCTGGTATCAACTATCAACACGTGCCACACGGATGCTGAATGCGGTTACGAAAAAAACTGCCAATCTAAGATGCTAAGTAGCTTTCTAGACTACTGTTGCCAAGTTAATCGATCCCTGATCTCAGAAGTACTTGATCAACCATGAACTTCAGGTGTTATGCTATACCACGACATGCAATCCAGCACTGATATGATAGAGTAAATGTCTCGAAACTTTAAGAAGTGTTTCTCAACTGTCTTTGCAATATTTCCTCCAACAGACAATTTAAACTGCTCCAGGAATATTCAAACGGGTAGAAATATGATTTCATACAGTTGTTTGCCCAAACAAGTGCATCAGTTCACTGTTAAAACAACCTGACCAAATGGCCTCGAGGACCAGGAACTTTCATGCAAGTTTAAACCTCAAGCACACAATATGACCTATTCATGAATGGGCGAAATGGGGGGAAGCAAATCTTACCCAGCAGGGAACTTGCTGTCTGTACGAGCTTCAACTCGAAGCCACCAAAGTAAAACTTGTTTGCCACAGCTTCCAAGTGGTTCCACCATTGAAGAATCCTTCAATAGAGATAAAGGAGACTCTATATCATCACCATCAACCATGGAATCTAAATCCCTAACCCAATGAGGCTTATCTTCATTATCCTTCCATAGCAACCTTGAATTCAATACAAAACCAGCCCACTCCAGCTTCATAGGCAGCACGGTTGCTCTATCATCTATAAAAATCGCGTTATTCCCTTCATACGGCTGTGGATCAAAGGTGTGCCAACCAGCCAATTTGCTAGATTCATTACAGGCAGGACCTTGAACAGGGATTGCCTGCTTCTTCTCTTTCTCTTCTACTTCCTTCTCAACCGTTGCAAATGAGGATAACTCCTCGGCACCACCTGAATGAGCAAGAATACCAATGGAAACCGCACCAAACCAGTTCACACTCTGAATTTCATCGAAGAGTTCAATACTGTGCATATTACTATCGTCTGCAAACATCACAATCCCTTCCAGCTTCTTATCCCTCACAACCCTGCTCCATCATTTGGACAAGAAACGGTTACTTAGTTTTCCGATAAGAACGATGTTTGACTTCGATTGACTCTCAGTTTACTTTCAGTTTCAGAGCACTACGATAACAGGGAAAAGCAGAGAAGAAGAACAATTCTTACCTCAAAGCTCGAAGCCGCATTTTGGCCTCCAATTTATGGCGTCCTTCCCACGTGTTGGGCATTTTCTCATCAACCCCGATGTGGATGGTTTTCACACCGGATTTCGAAATGATCGCAGCGGTCTCGTTAGTGACTCCACCGGCCTCCACGACGATCCAGACGACATCGTAAGGGACGAGCATCAGCGAGTGAACGACGCCGGTTAAATGCAGGGTCTGGAAGGTCCGCACGTATGTCGGCGTGACGGCGATGACGGTCCTCGGATTCTTCACTCCGAACTGATTCCGCTGCTCCTTCTGCACTCTCTCAATTATCTGGTGCGCCTTCATGACCTCGATCGGGTCCGGGTGCGGCCAGGGCCGGATCCGGATCCCGTGACGACCGACTACAACTCTGGTCCTGTTAAGCGTCGCATCTCCAACACCACCGCCAGAAGTCGGATTCGACGGCAAATTGAACGCAACGTCAGCAGCAGTGGTGGTGGTCAGCTGGCGGAAGGGCGCCATGAAGTGATTCGTGTTGGTGGTGACGGATGTGGAGAAGATGAAGAAGAAGACCAGCCGGGAGAAGCGGAACCCGAGGACGAGACTGATGAGGCAGCAGAGTCCATGGAGGACGAGCCAGAACACCGCCGCCGGCGACTTAATCGCGCCGTCAGCCGACGAATCTAATGGAGCCGCTCCCCTGAAGCTCCCCGGCCGGCGGTTCAGGTAGCTCTGCTGAAGGGCCGAGAGCTTCATCATTTCCTTTCCTCTCCCCTCTCTCTCTCTCTCTCCCTAACTCAGTCCGAATTCTGAGGGAGAGAGCGAAATCAGAGCTATCAGAGATAGAGAAATGGAAAGGGAAGAAGAGGGAGAAGGGTATTTGTTGAGTTCGATTGAAGCAAAAAGAAAAGAAAAAAAATAATAAGAAGCAGCGTTTGGTATGAAAATGATTATGAAGATGGAGAAAGAGAAGGAAAAAAAAAAGTAGTTAGAAAGGAAAGAGATTCCTTTGAATTCACGAATTGGAAGACATATTCGAGAGGGTAGGGATTTGAATATTGGGGGCTGTGGTTGCAGGGTTGCTGTACCTGAGTTTGCTGGGAGCTGAGCTAAGGCAAAAAACACAGCGATGCTGGCAAGGAAGGAAAATGGAAAATGGAAAATGAAAAGACAGAGAGAGAGAGAGAGCGAGGCGGAGGGTGGGGAGACTCGATTAATTAAATTAATTAATTAATTGCGTAATTTAGGGGCAGGTAATAAACGGGTGTTCCTTTTTTACTCATTTGGAAGTTGGAACATTTAATTCGTAATTAGGACAAAAAATTATAAAAGTTTTTTTTTTTTTTTGTTTTTTTTGGCATAAATAGGATAGAACATAGATATTACAGGACACTCAACAACCAGACGCGACAGTCGATTACTACTTGAACGGTCGATGAGAGGGCATTAGTAACCGCTAAATGGGCAGTCCTATTGTACATCCTAGGAGTAAAACGGCAAGAAAACGAAACAAAAGACTCACACGCCAAACAGACTTCCTCCAAAAGCGCGCCTCCCGCTCCATGTGCCACGTCTCTCTCCCGAACGCGTCGCACCAAGAGTTGGCAATCCCCACCAAAGTTGACAGACAAAAACACCCATGAGTTAGACACCAAGAGATCGCATCACGTAACGCCAACAACTCCAATAGAAAATGGATCATATATACCTGGATAGTATTTGCCAAAGGCAAAAAGGAGAATCCCAATCTCTGAAAAACCAGCAAAACCAATACCACCTCTCAATTCTTTCTTCAAAGCACCATCAAATCGAACAAAAACCCCACCTACCGGGCAAATGCCATCCTGTTGAACCCTCCTGGACAGCACCCTGTGCCGAGAGGTAGAAGTCGATGGCCCGCCATCATCTAGATGTAAGGAGAGCGGAGACGTCGCCACTTACCATTCATCGACATGAGCTCGAAACTGTCTCAACAATGCTGGCCCTTTGTAGTGGATGTGTTTGTGTACTGCCCAACACCTAGACTTCCAAACTCTCCAATAAATTAAAATCACATCAACAATAGCAACTTTAGAAAGGTGACAGGAAAGAAACAACTCATTCCAACACTCCGAATGTTGTAAGTCAGTCAATCTCCTGCGAAGAGCGCCTAATCCTGCTATCTCCCACAATTCCTTTGCTACTCGACTAGATAGGAAAGAATGCATGACTATTTAGGTTCCTTCAGAACATATTGGGCATGTACCATCCGACACTAGGCATTTGTAAAGAAGGACAGCCCGTACTAGAAGAAATCCTCGAACCATTCTCCAACAAAAAAAAAAATTTAGTTTGGGTGGGAGAGGGAGTGACCATAATACCTTCCAGAACCTGCTGCCATAAGGTAAAGAGGTAGGGGATGTACGACAAGTAATTCATTTGAAAGAAGATGGTAACCGATCTTTACAGAATACTCCTAGTAGCTGAGTAGTACCATATTAGTCGATCAGGAAATTGGAGAAAAAGGCAGGGGAATGAATAGAATCAGGCCCACCTATTCCCTGGTAAACAATGACTCAATTAATTGGACATCCCAAGTACGAGTGAAAGGGAAAATAAGATCACAGAAACCAACGGGCGGCACAAAACAATCCTAGAATGAAGAAGGGGAGCAGATGGAGGATTAGAAGGAAACCACTTATCTGTTAGTATTTTGACTGAGGCCCCATCCCCTATTCTCCAGCGAAGACCTCGGAGCAGCAAGTCCCTTCCAGTGAGAATGTCTCGCCAAGCCCATGATGCTCTAGTGTCAACTCGTGCTTCCTAGAAGGATGAATTAGGGTGATATCTTGCTTGATACAACTTGGCCAGAGTTGATTGGGGATTCATTAAAACCCGCCAAGCTTGCTTAGCCAAGAGGGCGATGTTGAATCGTTCAAAGTCCTGAAATCCCAGGGCGCCTTCAAACTTGCTATAACACACCTCTTGCCAAGAGAGCCAATGATACTATCCTCCTTATCTTGATCAGCCCACCAGAATCTGGATAATTGCCCATTTAACCCGCGACATGTGAAAGAAAAAGGCGAAAGGTAGACATGGTATATATGAAAGACGCAGAGCCAATCGACTTGATCACCGTTTCTTTGGAGGCTAGGGACATGGTTTTAGTTTTCCAGGATCTGATACGGGCAACCAACCCTTTCTCAACAAACCGAAAAGTTTGGGTCTTCGAACACTGCACATGGACCAGGAGACCTAGGTACTTGTCCTAGAGAGTTGATTCAAAAACACCTAAGAAAGCCCCCAAAGCTGTCCGTTCCTGGTCACTAACATTGGCAGTCACACAAAGGGGGGTGATGGGAGCGTATTGACCACTTACCCTTTATAATCTGCAAACAGAGATAGAAGCGTAGAACATTCCGGCATAGAAGCCCTCAAAAAGATATATGTATCATCAAGTTTTCATCAAGTTTACCTATTGACCACTTACCCTTTATAATCTGCAAACAGAGATAGAAGCGTAGAACATTCCGGCATAGAAGCCCTCAAAAAGATATATGTATCATCAGCAAAAAAATAAAAATAAAAAGGGGGGTGATGGGAGCATGTCTATGAATACGCAACCATGTAAGTTCGCAACACTAATTTCAGCATACAACTTAGCCAAAAAAGCTTCATTATAAAGAGCAAAGAGGAGCGGGGATAGGGAATGACCTTGACGAAAACCTCGTTGGGGTTTGAAATAACCATGGGATCTCCCATTAATCAGCACCAAGAAAGACACCACAAATATACAGGCTTTGATCCATCGCAACCACTCTTGACAGAATCCCATGTAGTCCATGATTATGAGGAGAAAGAACCATTCCACGCGATCGTAGGCTTTCTCCATGTCGAGTTTCAACGCCATCCATTTTTCGCGCCCCTGCACTTTGGTTTCAAAAATTGCATAACTTCTTGACCAATCAAAATGTTGTCAGTAATGGATAGTCGCGAACAAAACGGCCAAATTACATGTTTGATCACTCAAATTACATAAATCTTTCACGTTTGCCACCCGAATTACTTTTCTTTCATATTAGCCACTAACATTATGGTTCGTTTCACCGTTAGTCACCGATCGTCAAAGTCCGTTAACGCCATCAATTTTTTAATGGCGTGGCAAATGGAAGTGTTGTCTGGGCAGACAGAGAGGCTGAAAAAGACGTCTAGTCAGCAAAATAATATACTATAATTATACATTTGAAAAACTCGTCCAATTTGTCGTTGACCGGCAGAACCAGAGTCGCCGCGATAAGAATCATCTCCGCCTCGTTGCCCATACCCGCCGCCAACTTGTAACCATCCATCGCTCCTAAATCCAACACCGGCCCCTCCAAATCTTGATCCTTCTCCCTCTAGATCGATCCAGATTGTGACCCATGGAAAGGTAGAACCCATATCTAGATCAAGTGCGTGGGAAGGTACACCCAGATCGAGAAAACCCAGATCGCGACGCCGGAAAGCAAACACAGATCGAACACTCCCAAATCGCAATGCCAGATCGGGCACACGTCATGTCTGGGCCACATCACAACTCAGAATTGGTCCTGCAAAATCAGAATAGGGGAAGGCATAAGGGAGAAGGAGGAGGTGGATTGTGGTGCAGCGGCGCTCGATTTATGCCCATTCTGTGATGGCGAACAGAGGGGAGCGCGAGTGGGAGATGCTGAGTGGCGCCGGTAGCAAACAGAGGGGAGCGAGAGATTCTGAAATGGAGCTGCTTCACGGCTGGGGAGAATACATGGGCCGGATGGAATGTAGCTCTGGCAACAGAGTCGGAGCGGCGGCGAGGATGAGGAGGGGCTTGTGTGGTAATTGGCTTCTTCTTCTTGTAGTTATTTTTAGATTTGGCTTGAGGGTTAGGGTTTGGGATTTGGTGGGTGTGGTGGGGGATTTAGAAGTGGTTTTGTTTTTAGGTGGAACTTGATTGGGATCTAAAACTCGAAGGGTTTTGATTTTGGTAGGTGTGGGAGTGGAAGTGGAATTAAGCTGCTTCTTGTCTTTCTTCTTGTGGAATTGGTGTGTTGGAGGACTCAAAGGGTGAAGAAATGGACAAACGAGGATTGCGTGGGAGGAGGAAGAAGGCGGCAGCAGCAGTGGAGGGAGGAGGAGAGGCATGGCTACAGGTGGAGTTGGAGCACGGATCTGGTTACGGTCGGCGGACTGAATCGGAAGGTGGTGCGAGGAAAGAGAAGAGAGGTTGCGGCGGATTTGTCGGAGAAGTAGCTGTGATATTTTTTATATTTTTGAAATGATATGTCATTAACGGTCCAGTCAGCACTCTCGTTTGCCACGTCATTAAAAATTTGACAGCGTTAACGGAGTCTGACGAAGATTGACAATCGGTGACTAACGGTGAAATAAATCATAAATTTAGTGGCTAATATGAAAGAAAAGTAATTCGAGTGGCAAACGTAAAAGATTTATGTAATTTGGGTGACCAAACGTGTAATTTAGCCAAAACAAAACCATTTTAAGTTGAACTAATAATGTCAGATAAGATACCACTCAGCCGGGAAGCCATTTTACTCATTTGGAAGTTGGAACATTTTATTCGTAATTAGGACAAAATATTATAAAAGCTTTTTTTGTTGAAATAAAAGCTTTTTCTCATAGTAAATATTGTAAAGTTTTGTAATGGAATTAGCTAGGGTGCTAACACTTTTTATAGTATTATTAAAGCCGAACCGAGCCGGTCGGTCGGACCGGTAAAACCGACACCCTTTCACCAACTCTGTTTGGAACACTCCAAAAGCTGCAGCGGTCAAGAAGGTCGGTCGGCGAGCGGTCGAAGCTGTTAACCGCTCGGGCCGCTCGAACCGGTCGAACGGTTTTAAGCACGCAAACTGCATTTGAAAAAATCAGTCCTTACCTTTTCTATCAGACACGGGCTGTTGGGTGGAGTTACCAAAAAAAATTAAATTTATACCGTCTTAATGCGGTTACTTCCCTATTCCCATTCACTTTTAGCCCTTTTCTACTTTTCTTTTTCCATTTCCCCAAAACAAAGACACGGTTTTCCTATTCCCCTAGCCTTTTAAATTT